CTGGGGGGCCCCCCTGAGGGGCCGCTGGGGGCCCCCCTGGGGGCCCCCTTGGGGGCCCCTCTGGAGGCTCTAGGCTCTCGCCAGTCCCCCCTGCTCCTAATCAAGTACCTTGACTTCATCAGGAGGTCCTACGTAAGGGTTCAGGGTTTAGGGTTTAGGGTTTAGGGTTTAGGGTTTAGGGTTTGGAGACGGCAGCGACTCTGTATGGGTTTTCGTTCCTAGAGCGTTTGCGGGTTTGTTTTCGCGCAGCGACTGCGCAGGGCTCGGGGCCTAGGGTTTAGGGTTTAGGGTTTAGGGTTTGCGTGCAGGGCGTGGCTGCGTGGCGGGCGAGTTTCGCGGAGGTTTCGCTGCTGCCCTTTTGCTGCTGGAGGGTTTTCATTCACCAGGCCCAAACAGAGTGGCGCTTTTGCTGCAGCAAACTGCATGCATTGAGGGCCCTCAGGAGGGGGGCCCCCCGCTTTGGGGCCCACCCCCAGTACCTGGCTGCGTGGGCCGACCTGCTCCTCGACATGCAAATGATCGACGGTGAGGGTTTAGGGTTTAGGGTTTAGGGTTTGAGGGTAGGGTTGGGGGGTTGGGGTCTGGGGTTTGGGGTTTAGGGCTTGGGTTTTGGGGTTTAGGGATTAGGGTTTGGGGTTTAGGGTTTAGGGTTTAGGGTTTAGGGTTTGCGCAGGGGCTCGCGAGCTGCTGCGGCAAAGCGTAATGACGCTGCAGTCGGAGATGTGCAGCGGAAGTCGACTGTTGTGGAAGAAGTGGATAAGACTGGAGCAGAAATACGGCGACAAGTGAGGGTTTAGGGTTTAGGGTTTAGGGTTTAGGGCTTAGGGTTTAGGGTTTGGGTCCAGCTAGGGTTTGCGCCGCGCAGGTCTTCGCTGCGGACGGTGGTGGAGCTGAGGGCGCTGCAGCGGCTGGGCCTTGGCCCGGAAGCAGCAGCTTGCTGCTTGGAGGACAGGGAGCAGCAAACAGAGAATCCTGCTGCTGATGCTGCTGCTGCTGCTGCTGTTGCTGTTGCTGCTGCTGCGGAGTCCGAAGCCACCTGCTGCTTCTCCCCCAACAAAGCTGCAGCAGATCTGGACCCCGCGGAAGTCGCAGCAGCAAAATTCAAAATCAGAAAAAGG